TGAGGATTTCCATTTTCCTCATGTATTTTATTAAAACCGGCACAAACGGCATGAATACTGGTTGTACCACGGTCAGACCATTCCACTTACAAAACCGGCACACCAGCATAAACCGGTTTGACAACCTTGATTAAAACATAACATCATAATAATCAGCAATTACTCATTCCAAGAGATCGTATCTTGTAACTTTCCTAGTGCTTTGCACTTTTCTTCTCGCCTTTGTGCTTTCAATCCTGCACTAGATTCTTGACAACTAATTAATAAAAGCTTAAACAACTATAGGTGTTCAAATTAGGGGTGGGCACGTGGGTGGTTAATCTGCGGATTGATATCGATCCATCCCCAAATAAATCGACCCGCATGTAATGGGTGATTGATGTGGGTGGATTGCGGATTGTTAAATCTCCCACCCGCACTTATGTGGGTAGATGGCGGGTGGATTGCGGGTCACCCGTATGACCAACATCCTATTTTTAGATGGAAAAATGTTGTTTCTTATAGTATCGAATATTCATTATATTTTCGAACTGCACTGCAGTCTGACCATATACTGCAAAAGGTGGAGAATAAAGAATAGTTTTGATTACTATTATTGGTTATTGTGTTGTGCAATATCCATTGGCAATGAATATTGGTATGCAAATTATTGTTAATATCCATTAAATATTGGGATACAAACTATAAATTATTAATTATATCAAGATCACAAATTATTGATACAATCTTACTAATTTGCTATGAACTTATTACAAATGTTAGTCAATTTTCTTAATGGCTAGTTAGAGAATTGCTTTTGCGGGTTAACCCGCGACCCAACCGCACCCATCCGCCACCCACCCAACCCAACCCGCATAAGTATGTGGGTGAATTGCGGGTCACATATATTCCAACCCGCTACTAAGCGGGTGTGTCAATTTTAGACTAAAATCCACCCAACCCGCCCATTGCCCACCCCTAGTTCAAATGGTTATCATTATAATTACCATACTAAATAAAGCTAAATTCTATTAACAATGAAATATAATATCATAGCCAAACCATACAAACTAATAAACAACCAAAACCAAAATAAAGTTTAATCGGTTTGATTATTTGGTTAACCAGATTAAAACAAAACAATCAACACATAATTATAGTTAATCCTTAGCATAAACACATACAACTAATACAATTATCTTGCATTCAATAGAAGTATTTTCCTAACAAAAATATATGTCAATGGTATGGGGTTAATGAATTGTTGTGTTTGTGTGAACTAACTTAGTCTTTCAACAATTATCCTAGGTTGAAAAAGACCTTATTTTCAAGTTTTCATTCAATATAATGTATGAGTTTTTATCTAAATTAGGCGTATATATGTTGTGGTTTGCATTCTAAAAATACAAATATACAACATAGGAACAATATTGAGCTTTATTTTTCATGAGTCTAAAAGGATGAACGTTTGATTGTTGCTTTAGATTTGTGTCGACATTTTATTTCCATTTATATCCCTAATAGTTTTTGTCTTATACTAAAAGTTGAGGGTAAATATGACATTTCCCCATAAAAGTAACTTTATGTAAATCAATGCATAAAGTAGAATCTCAACAACCAAACAATGTATTGTTAAAATATATTCATTGTATCAATACATGCATTTATATTATGGTGATTCATTACAATGCAACGATTTAACATTCGCAACTTCCAAACGACCCCTTAGTTTGCTATTTCCTTGTTATTTCCTTTGAGAGTTCTTGTGTTTAATTCCTTTTAACGAGAAAACCCTAAAAACGCCATCCCCTACGTCACATCACCGTAACAAAACCAAACCAAACCAAATCAATTATCAAAATTAATCAAACCAAATTATTCAAATACTACTAGTTAATCACTTGATTTGAACACCCCTAGACTTGGCGATGACGAAGACTTTCAATTCAGAATTTTCCCCTCCCCCTCCCCAATACGCAAACAAACAGTAATTTCATTTTTCAAGGGAAAGATAAAAAGTGGAAGGGCAAGGCATTGACCGTCGGGTCAATGGATTGACTTGGACTCCCACACTATGTTTCCGAAGGAAGAGAGGAAAAGGAGGGGAGGTGAAGGGAAAATAGGAGGGGAGGGGAGATTTGGTAGTGAAGGAAATTGGGAGGAAAATGTTGTTTTATGGAGGAAAGTGGGAAGGAAAGTGTGTATTGGGAAGTGTGATGAATATGTTAATTTATTGGTTATGTAATAGTAAAATAATTTGATTGTAATAGTAAAAGGAGAAGGAGAAGTGAAATGAGTGAAATATATATTATTTTATTGGTTATGTAATAATAAAATAATTTTATTATGAGTTGGTATTATTTTCAATACTGTTCAGGATCAAATTTATTCTTTCTTGCTAATGGTCCGGTGAGTGTCCATCGTTGGTCAAAAATGAGAAAACAAATGGTCTGAGTGTAATCGTTATAAGCCGACATATAAATGGGTTATACCCCAGTCAAACCATATCACTTACAAAACCGACATAAATGTATAAACCGGTTTGATAATCTAGGATTTTAGTATGTAACACACTTGTACATGTTCACGTAAGATTTATACCATTTATCTTAATTATTATACTATTTTTTCGGTAATTTATTATAATATATTTTATGTTAACTGCAAACGTAATTATTCATGTCTCAAAGTTTATAATTATCTACATCCTTCATAACTATCTTTCCAACAAGCCAAATAAAGGTAAAAAAAAATACTGTGTGCAACAAAAAGCATTATGTTCAAATTTATGTTCCATAACCCATGGCAATTACTACTTAAATGGAAGAAGAAGAAAAAAAGTAAAGCAACAATCATGTTTTCTCTCCACTTTAGAGGGGCTATTGACACAGTGGAATTTTCCTTTCAATTCTGTTCCCTACATACTGTTCAGAAACTAAAAAGCAAGGGAAAGTACCTTGGGAAGCCAACTTTCCGTCCCAACTTGTCCCTCCCTCCCTTTTCTTTCGTAGAAAAACACAGGGCCGGTCAGCTAGCCTCCCAATCAGAAACCAAGAGAAAGAAATCGCGTCGACTGCAATAATTCGACCCTGACCACCCCCAGGAGCCCAATCCGGCGGCGGCTTCTGTAAAGATTCTAGGTTGGATTTCTTTATTGATTGAACCTCCCTCCCTAGCTGAGAAAGGTAAGGAAATGATAACAATACTAAGTAATACTAATAACAATAGTGGTGCTCTGCTCTCTGTGGAGTCACTATCAGCGCATCTAAAAAAGATTGTTGGGAGGGAAGGGAAGACCGGACTTATGGGCTTTGTGGGATTCTCCATCTCCATTGAATTGAAAGGTCCAAGAAATGGGGTGATCGATCGGCTCAATCTTCTTCAATCATGACGAAGAGGACGATCCAATCCACAGGGTGTGTTTGTTGAGTTAAGTATCAACAAAGGTTATTATCGGTCTATCGTTGTGTTTAGTTAGTGGTATGGTTTGACCGATGATATAATCAGTTTCTGTCAATTCATGTTACTGTAATATAGATAGGCAAAATACACTTTCATAGCCACAACTTTCACGTTTATGACAAATATAACCCCAACCATCGAAATACACAAAATAGTTATTTCCGTCCATCTCTTTAATGGTATCAGTTAATAATGTGATTGACTGACGAAAATGCTGAGTTGACAATATTTTATTCCTACCAATCCACGTGGATAAAATAAAAAAAACAAAAAAAAAACTCTTTCGTCACTAACTCCTCTCCCGAGACGATAAGAAAAGGAAAAAAGAACTCCTCTCCCGAGCAAAGTTCATCTCTTTCTTTCTCTTCCTCTTCTCTTTCAAGATCTGTCGCAGTTGTTTTCTCTTCTTCTTCTGCCTTCTACCCAGCAAAAAACGTTGCCCGCCGCCACAACCCTAGCGACAATGGAGATCGAATGACGTCGATTGGACAGCGACAGGAAGAATCTATGATTGGGCTTGACGGCAGAGGCAGTGTCTAGTTAGGGTTTCAAGCACTGCCATCGTCAATCGGACCTCGCCACTGCAGCCTTCAGATCCGCAGACGAGGGTTATCGGGGAGGTCTTCTTCTACGATTGGGGAGGTGTGTCTTCTTCGTTTCCGCCGCCGTCGGCGTTTGAGGCAACGAAAATTGAATTGAAGGAGATACACGCTGGATTTCATCTACCGCCAGCAAGTAGCGATCCACCTCGTGACGATCGTCGTCAAAGAGTGCATTAGCAGAGTGAGGACCTTAAGGGAGGTTTAGTAATATTTGTTAAAGGACTAAGATTGTCCTTCAACTAAATTTCGAATATGTTGGTTGAAAAATATTTTTTATGGAGTATAGTAAGGATGAAAAATGTTATTTTCCTACCAATTTTGTTACTCAATTGTTAGAATACTTTAACGTATAGAGTGTGATATATATGTATTACATTACACATCAAGATAAGTTAATATTTGCTAAAAGTTGTGGTTATGTTTTTCCTATTTATGTTACACTTTTCCACACAAACTCCCTTTTTATGTTGAATTTATTTTCAACTATATAACTAAGTGATTGCATCATCAAATAGACAAATCATGAACGGTTATTCACTAGTGTTATAATTATTAAGAATATATATCCGGTCATTGATAAATAGTTAATATAATTTAATAAAATTAAAAAAAATGATTTAAATATAACCTTAATGTCATACAAAATGAAGTATTTCAAATAATTTGAAAAAAATAAAATATTCATTGCAAATATGTTAGGAAAAAAATACAGCCAATTTTTCCGGGCAAATTGGGCTGCAAGTCTGCAACTATATTCTCTTTCCAGTTACATTCTCGGCCTGAAAATTCACAAGTAGGCTGTAGCTGTACCCTCCAGTCTTGGCCCAATAAACGCAGCACCCAGAAAAGAAAAAAGAAAAAAAAAAAACTAAACTAAAAAAGTTCAGATGCAGATCGCTCGCTTCTTAATTTCTTTTCTTTGGCCAGAAAATCCGCCATCGCAAGTCGCAACTGAAAATGGAAGAAGACAAAGCCGCGGCTTACTACGACGAGCTCAGCCGTAAGGGCGGAGGTGCCGCCCGCTTCAAACAGGGGCTCGGCTTCTCTGCCGCCCCCGACGACGATCATCCTGCTCCTTCAAGAGGCTCCGCGCTTCCTACATCTTCTTCATTTCTCAGCAACTTCGTCAGAGCCTCCAGCCCCGCCCAATCCTCCAAGCTCGAGAAGGAAGCGCAGCTCCAATCAGTTCAGAACAAGTTGAAAAAGACTTCTAATAAGGAAGAGCCATTGTTGGCTAGGGATTCGGACAGGAGTACCAGAGTCAGAGAGTCGAGCTCGAGCCATCGGCGTCGGTCCAGGAGTAGAGAGAAGGATAGTCGAAGAGATGGAGATCGACATTCCAGGAGACGAAGTAGGAGTAGAAGCAGAAGCAGGGAACGGTATCGGGACAGAGACAGGTACAGAGAGAGGCGGAATAGGAAAAGGAGTAGAAGCCGGAGCCGTTCACCGCGGAAGGAGAGGAGATCTGAGAGACGGAGTCGGAGCCGAAGTTTTTCGCCTCATCGGGAGGGGAAGAGGTCGGAGAAGAGCAGACGAGAAGACGTTGCAAGGGATGGAAAAGGGAAGGAGAAGAATGTTGCTGTAGACTATTCGCGGTTGATTGAAGGTTATGACAAAATGGTACTCCCAATCCTCCTCCGTTGACGACTTACAATGGCTTTTTTTTTACTGTTTAGTAGTCGTAAGGTCGTTGGTGATGTTGAACCTGCAATCTTAGTGAAGTTTACAGAATTTTGACCCATAGTTCATTCTGCTGTTACTTATTGATACTGATGGTGGAAACAAAGGCAGTGAGAAGTGAACCCAGAGAGCTCCTTTTTTATTTATAGAAAACCCAGAGAGCTCTTTGCTGTTGATAAGAATGGGTTTACTTTTCATGTTGAAAGCTATTTCCCTGTGCTTTCCATCTCATAGCTCCGTGGAATGAGATATTGTTCAAGTTCATTCAGGCGTCAAGGGAATGGGCTACCCTATGAGTACATTGGCTCTAAAGTCTAAACCTCTCACTGTTACCATGAAATTATCACATTTGGCAGTGCTTCAGGCTAGGATGGCTTGACTATATGTTGTTTCATGCTTCCTTTTGTGGTGGGAAAAATAATAAGAACTATGGATGTATGTGTAAAGGAAAATGGTGTGGTTTGGCAAGTGATCGGCATATCGTCATTATGTCTGTAGAAGTTATGCTAGGTAAGAACCTTAGGAAATACATGCTTGGCTGGCACTCCTAGTTCTATGTGCTGACTGATTTGGATATACGGAGACACTGTTGAAGTCTGGTATATTTTTTCTCCTGTCAGTTCCTCTAGAAGTAATCTGGCAACTGATTATATAATGAAACTTTCAGTCTGCTATCTTCTTTGCTCTTATTCTAGCAATAATTTAAATCCGAAGCTTCTTTACTATCAGACACAGGCTGAAAGAGTGAAAGCACGAATGAAGTTCCAGCTTAGTGACACTGGTAAGGAACATGAATCCCTTTTCCAATCTGATGTCATTACCTCGGGTTCAGCAGCATTTGCGAAGCTTACTGCTTTTTCTACATTGATACTGTGTACGAATTAGGAGAGGAAACTTACCATTGTGGCTTTCCGGTTTGGAAGTGCTCTTTTCTCGGTATTTTGTGAGATAACCTGAAATTTGTAGTAAAAACTCTGTAACGATGGTCGCATCCTTGTCACCATTTTGTTTCCTAGACTCTCTGACTTATTATTTGCTACATGAGTAGCGTGTCTGGGCTAAACTCTCTGTGATCTTATCTGCCCATTTGGATGCTTTAGGGGTGCTGCACCATTGAGTTTAATTGTTACTTTTGGATGCAGAAGGATGATGAACATACTGTCATCACTAAGATTTGGCTTGACAATTATGTTACTTGACAGTAAAATTGCTACCATGTGAACATACTCTTAGCTCGTTAGTCCTGGTATAGTCTGTGGGTCATGCGGTAATGTGTGAACAAAATACATTTCTGGCCAGGTGGCTGTCGGGATTTTAGACCGTAAACTCCCCAGATATTGTCATTCATGTGTTACATAATTTCACATGCAGCTGAAAAGGATACAAAAAAAGGCAGCTCAGGTTGGGAGAGGTTTGAGTTTGACCAAGATGCTCCCCTTGATGATGAAGAAGTTGAAGGTCAGTCAGATTCCGTTCTTCTTTCTAGCACTGTGGTGCCAGTAGATCACAGATTCGTACTTATAATTCCCCTCCTGCTTCTGTTTCTATTCCAACTTTGTAGTTTTCTTAACGACATATAACTTGTATCTCTGTTTCTCTTGTAACTTCGCTTGTCCTTGGCTTACCCTGTGCTCTCTCACAGCTGCGGAGGATGATACAGCATTAGTCAAGCACATTGGTCAGAGCTTTCGATTCTCTGCCGTGGAGGCAAAAAGGGAGGAGCGGATTAGAACTGCTCATGATGAAGCCATGTTTGGAGCTCCTCTTCCAGTTTCCTTTGATTCAGACAGTGACCCTCCGTTGGAGGAGAAGAAAAAGGAGATGAATAAGCCTGAACTTTCCACTAGTCTCTTGAGTGAGAAGGTATCTTAAGCGGACAGTGATTTTCAGCATGAACTAACTGGAGCAAGATTTTGTTTGATTCTAATATGTTTCCGTAAAAATTTAGGTGCTTGCAAAACAACAAGGTTCTTGGCGTGATCGTGCTGGGAAGCTAAAAACAGAGAATTAAGCGAACCAATTCAGCGATGTGGAGCGAGGGGACACGTATCAGTCACAAGTAACTGCCGCTGAAGTTAAAATGTCAAGAGTCTCAGTTGACAAGTGGGAATCTTTGTAGCAGCGGCCTCAATGCTTCCTTGCACCAAAGTAGACTCACTTAAAACTCTAGTCCAGTATCTGTTGTATTAGGTATGTATGATGAGTCCAACCTCCAATTTTCTCATTGTATATATAGAACTATGGAGGTTCCGTAGAAAGCTGATTATTGCCCAATGGTTCTAGTCAAAAGTTTGGCGACTCCAGTGCACCAATCTTGTTATGGGAGCAAGGGGACCTTTTTCTTGTTTTCCTTTATATGGTCTAGAAATTATCCACGGCAATCTTCACTTGTGCATGAGATTTTAGTTGTTGCGTAAGAACTAAGAATAGAGATTTAAAACAGAGGCCATTTTTACAGCTGATTCAGCTGCATTATCGATCCCGACTCATCATGCTCAAGGCATTGGCACTAGCTAAGGAGAGTCGACCTCTGTCTTGATTCTAAGACGGCGCTTGCTATGGTGATTGAGAACACTAAGACCATTTTTTTTTTTTTTTACAGAAGATGCTAATTAGAAAGCGTGAAGATTGATTAAGTCAAGTATTCGAAATAAGTTTTTCTTCCCTTTCTAATTCACAATGTAGAGTACAGAACTTTAAGAGTGACGGCGCACCTTACTTCGAAATTCTTGCTAAACGAGAGAAGCTCTGGAATATTTATCTTTTCTAAACTCTTGCCCACATATGATCATTTCAAACATGCGTATCATAAGTTCATAACAAAGAATTCCATTTTCAAGTTGTGGATAATTATCTTAGCAAAATGTTACTTAAAAAACAAAGAATAGGAAGGCAAAATTACAAGTTTGGTCACTGAAATTACTTAAGAAGTTTACCTTTGACACTAAAATTAATTTATTTCATCCGTAGTTTCTCAAATTAGTTCAACAGTTCAAATTTGGTAAATCTCCGTTAGTTTCCGTTATCTTTATCCTATGTGGCAGTAAACACTCATAGTTAACCGTTAAATGTGTGACATATCAATTAAAAATTAATAAAATTTAATATTTAATATTTTCAAATTTCCTCCTCATTATCCAAACCCAATTTACAAAAAAAAAAAACTGAATTTTTTAAGCCGTCGCCACCGTTGCAACTGAATGACCGTCCAGACGCTACCGCCATGGGCGGCTCCCCATCGATGGGGTTTTTCATCAGCCTTTGTTCTCTTGTCCTAAGGCTCAAGGAGATGGTGGCGGCTCTCAAAATCACTCACTTTTGTGCCATCTAGATAAAGGAAGAGGGAAAGACCGGAGATTGAAGAATGGTCCTGCGATTTGCATAGATTTGCCGTTCTTGAATGATCAATTAACGTCGGGGTGATTTTCTTCATCGTTCCAGCCGTTTCCATTGCCGGCGAGAATGAAGGCCGACAACTGCTTCCCTTCTGGTCGAGGACGGAAGGGGTCGAATCTGATCATATTTCCCACATGCAACGAGAAGAAAGCTGAGATTTAGCTTCAGTAGTCGCCTCTCTTTGTTGTGTTTTTCTAGAGTAAATCGAGAACCTCAAAACAGAGGGCGGGCAGCGAGTTGTCTCCCAACGACGGAAGCGAGGATAGAAGGAGATCCTCCCCGCCAACGAATTCAGCGACACACAGAGAGAAGGAAGCGTCCAAAGGAGGGAGAAGACTGTGTCGGTGGCGTGATCGGCGATGGTAGGAACTTGAAGGGGGTTTGTGGGGCTAAGATTTGGTGAAAGGGTTCCCTTAGTGACTAAGTAAAACTCCACTCTTGCACCTCATTAAAATCCAATGGTCCATATTAATTAGGGGTGGCTATTTGGACCGGGATCAGATTAAAAACTGGAAACCGAACCGTATAACCCGGACCGAGACCGGACCGGGACCGGATAGTAAACAATCCAATCCAATCTTTGGGCTTAGATTTGAGGTAAAAAACCGGATAAAGACCGGATAAGAGAGCTCAACACCCAAAACTTAAGGGTAATTTGCATAAACGGTCACAAACCTTTGCACTTAGTACAAAACTTAACCAACTCCTCACCCTTTAAGGCCTTAGGCCACTCAAATCCCACAATATCGATGTAAAATCAAGACCGAATTGGGACCGGACCGGATCAAAACCGGACCGGATCAAGACCTGACTGTATCCAATCCAATCTTCGGTCCTTATATTTTCAAAAAGACCGGACTGGACCGGATCAATTTGGGCCAATTTAACCGGACCGGACCGTATAGCCACCCCTAATATTAATCTTATTTAATGAAAGACAAAATAGTAATTATATAAATTAATTATTTAACAATTAAAATTAGAAAAACTGTGCGGCGAATTTGCTGTCTCTCCCGCGGGCCGCCTGTTTCCCGGGACTTGCCGCCGACTGCCTCGGGAATTTTTTCGGTGGCTTGGGACTAATTCCCTCCCCGGTGGCGGTCCCTTTATGGCCCTGGGAATAATAAGTGGCTTGGGGATTTTAGGTACAGAGAGAGAGAGTGCTTGGGGAAGTCGCAGTTCATGCCAGGTTTGGCCAAATTTATGTCTAATTCAACTATCTTCTATTCTTCCACAGTCCAAAAGGGATCGAGCCTCACTAACTCGGCGTCCGAATTTCCCACGAAGGCCAGGTGGTGGAATTACCATGTTTTAGGCGGCAGTTGAAAGAGCGGCTCGAAAGCTTGACGAACAAGCGAAAAAAAAGAGCCATCTTGTAAAAAGAAAAAATAATTATACAAAGAAAAAAAATGAATTTAACTAAAAAAAGGAATCGTAATAAAAAATGTTTGGCTTTTTTGAGAACTTTTTGAATTACTACATTAAATTCACTTTCTTTGCTCAGTTTGTGATTTTGTTCAATCGGAAAAGCACTGGGCCGACATGTTCCTAAACTAAACCACTTTCTTGCAAAATATCCAACGCATACTTGCGCTGAGTGAGCACACAATTCCTGCTGGTGACCGTGCGACCTCAATTCCCAGGAAATATTTCAATGGTCCAGAGAGAGAGATTTCTACTGATCTGAGGAGACTTTTCCGGCGACCGGAGAAGGTTTTTCCGGCGATAGTGTTGAATTAGTGATGTTTGTCGTTTATTTTGTAATGTTCGTAAACTTTGTTATTTTGTAATGTTTGTAAGCTTTTTTATTTTTGTGCACCATGTGTTTATCATTTTTGTCAACCATGTTTGTAATGATTTTTTATGTCTAAAAAACAACCTGGTTGACTTTGGATGAAACTCCTCTATATAGAGATGAAGTCTCCAAAGTCAACCCGGGTGTTTTTCGAGTTTGTATGAATTTTTGGTCTAGTTTGTTATTTTTGTCCACCATGTTTGTATGTCTAAAAAACTCCCGGGTTGACTTTGGGAAGGAGCCCCTCTATATAGGGATGGAGCCTCCAAAGTCAACATGGTTGTTTTTTTTTCTTCTTCTTTTTGTATGATTTGTATTGTTTGTCGGTCTAGTTTGTATTTTTTTGTACAGTTCATATGTTTGTAAATCTATTTGTATGTTTTGTTACTCTAGTTTGTACTGTTCGTATGTTTGTATGGCTTGTACTGATTGTAAATCCGGTTTGTATACTTCGTAATTTTCCATAATACCCAAACTACCCATGTCATTAATTAAATAGCTCTTCCCACTTTTTAACAATCAGATTAATGTGTCCAGATCTAAGGGCTTGGAGGGGTTTAGTCAAGCGACTAAGCACCCCCCCTTAGTCAACGGATCCTCTCTCGGGTTTGGGGATTTCATCTTGCTTGCGCACCTAGTTTTTTTTAGGGTTTAAAAATGTTAAGTCTTACAATTATTTTTTAATGAATTGTAAAAGTGTGGTGGAAAATTTAAATGATTAAATTTATTATTTTTAAATAGCCACATCATACATTTAACGGTTACAGTTGACTGCCACATTAGAGAAAGTTAACGGAGTGACCAAACTTGAACTGATAAACTAATTTGAGTGACTCTAAATAAAATTAATTAATTTTAATGATAAACGTAAACTTTTTAAGTAATTCGAGTGATCAAACTTGCAATTTAGCCGAAGGCGAATATACTTTCTTGCAATGTTCCCGTGAGTAATTCTTGAGTGCTCCCGGAGCACCACCTTAGCTGTGCTCCCTCCCAATAAATAAGTGCCACCTTAATTTTTTTTTTTTTGCATTTGAAGGAGGCAGAAGCCAGGAAAGAGAAAGGGGGGTTACAGGGGAGATTACAGAGAAAGAGTAGGGGGAGCCGCTATGCGGCGCTCGAAGGTAGTGCCAAGATAATCCTCCCGAAGAAACGTAGCTAGTCCGGTTGGTGGATCAGCAATCTCATGCACATCGTAGGGATAGACGAGACTGTGCTTCGAGAGCCAGTCAGCGACTCTATTCCCTTCGCGATATACATGAGTAATACTGATCAACCAATCCCGACTAAGCTTGCTGCGAATCGCAGCTAACAGAGTAGCATACGGATGAATCGGGTCTTCTCTGTTCTGAATAAGCTGAATAGCCAACTAAGAGTCACTTTCCACTTTCAGCGATCTGTATCCCAACCTCCATGCGAGCTCCAAACCATGATCGAAGGCCCGAAGTTCGGCCATCGCAGCGGTGGCAGCGCCGATGTTTGCCACAAAACCTCCCAACCATTGACCAGTGGAATTCTTGATGGCCCCGCCGGCACCCGACGGCCCGGGATTGCCGTTTGAAGCTCCGTCGATGTTCAGCGTGACCCACCCATTGGGGGGAGGAGACCACCCAATGTTTGCAAGCTGGCGCGCCACCGGGCGGCTCCGATTGTCCGGTATCGAAGATGAGGTGAGCCACGACTCATGCCACAGCCTGTCTTTGGTAATGATGGAGTGCTCCAGCGTTGGTGAGGACAAGGCGGCATCCACCCCCTGGAGAGTTGTAGTGCAGCGGTTCTTCCATAAAAGCCAGGCCGCAATGATGAAAAAATTCGGCCACTCGATCCCTGTGCCTGTCGAAGTGTTCGAAAGAAGATTGGTTCGAAGCCAGCTACCTTGATCCATGCTGAAAGAAGGTCTGCTGCTGCTGCTGAGGGACATGTCTTGACCAGAAAAAAGCGGTTGGGGGGCAGTCCCGAAGAATGTGCAAGATGGTTTCCGGTTGGCTGGCACATCGGGTGCAAAAAGGGGTTGGCGCAAATCGCCTGTTGTACCTGAGGACATTAGTAACAATCCTCCAAATAAGGACAAGCCACATGAAGCTTCTTATTCTTTCCGAGACGGCAAGGCGCCAAATGGCTTTCCAATATCTCTCGTCAGGGTGCGGCTGCTGCTGGGTAAGCAGAGTGAAGGCCGACTTAGTGGAGAATCTGCCATCAGAGGTAGCTGTCCAGAACAAGCGGTCTTCTTCCTGTGATAGGGGATCAACGGCGATGCCAAGGATTTTCTGGTGGATCTCCGTGGGTAGGAGGTGAGCAAATAGCTCCGTCTGCCAGCTCCCGTCCTCTCGAACAAAATCAGCAATCCGTGCCTCTTCAAGCTCGCTCGGGATCTCGCTCAAAGCCTTCTCCCGGAGAGGAACCTGCAAAATCCAGGGATCAAGCCAGAATTTAGTGCGTTTGCCGTTCTTAATATTCCAGGCAAACCCTTTTTGTAAAAGATGAGCAGCTTTAGAGAAGCTGGCCCAAGTGAAAGAACTTTCCTGAATTGGCCGAAAGATATTGATGCCTTGTATTTGCTTGCCGTATTTTGCCCGCATCACTTCAGCCCAAAGACAATCTTTTTCCTGAAGAAGGCGCCACCCACCTTTAGCCAGCATAGCTAAGTTCGCGTCCTTAGTATTTCTGAGTCCCGCCCCGCCATTACTTTTGGGCATGGTCATCTTCACCCATGCAACTAGGTGCATCTTGTTCTTGTCCGTCTCATCTCCCCAGATGAAATCCCTGCTGATCTTATCGATGCTCTTGCAGACATTGGTAGGGAGGAGCTCAGTCTGCATACTGTAGACAGGGAGGGAGGCAGCAACTGACTTGGCCACGGTAAGCCTGGCAGCGAAAGAGAGGCGCCTCGCCTTCCAGGGTGCCATCCTCTTTTGGATCCGGAGAAGGAGGGGCTGATATCTCTCTCTGGTCACCCGCTCTTGGATAGCCTGAATGCCCAGATATCTTCCTAGGTTCGCTTTGAGGGGGATTCCTGCTTGCCGGCTCAGTCTTTCTGCTCTCCTCCGGGGGATATTTGGGGAGACATACATGATGGACTTGTTGAAGTTGACCTTTTGACCGGAGCTAAAACAGAAATCTTCCAGGCACTATTGAATAACTTGAATTTGGCGGGATTCTGCTTCCGCAAACAGGAGGAGATCATTTGCAAAAAAGAGATGGGTAAGAGGTGGACTGTTGGTAGTAAGCTTAACAGCTTTCCAAAGGCCATTGTCCACAGCTTCATCAATTTTATGAGATAAACGCTCCATGCAAAGCATAAACAGATAGGGTGAGAGAGGGTCTCCCTGACGGACTCCGCGGGACGGGGAAAAAGGCTGAGATAACTCTCCATTCCAAAGAATCCGCATCCTGTTTTGCTCCACACAGGTCATGATGCAGTTAATCCAGGAGCTTGGCAACCCGATCTCCTTTAGAGTGTCTCGCAGGAAGTCCCAGCGAAGCCGATCATAGGCCTTCTCTAAATCAATCTTGAAAATCAGGCCTCCCTTTTTCCCTTTCCTTTTCCTGAAAGAATGGAGAACCTCCTGAACCACTATAATATTATCAGCGGTTTGTCTCCCAGGGATGAAGCTGCTCTGTCTGGGGGAGATAAGTTTCCTCATGAGCGGCTTCAGTCTGCTGGTCATCGCTTTCGTGATAGCCTTGAGACTAACGTTGTTAAGGGAAATCTGACGAAGCTGCGTCACCTTTTCTAGGTTGTCGACTTTGGGGATGAGGACCAGGGTGGACTCGGAGACTGAATCTGGGAGAACACCGGTGTTGAAAAAGGAAAGCGCCATGTCCGTGAGATTTTTGCCGACAGTCCCCCACATCTGCTGGTAGAAGGCGGCATGAAACCCATTGGGACCAGGGGCCTTGAAGGGCTTCATCTCAAAGACTGCCTTGTGAATGTCCGTGATGGTGAAGGGTCTTAGCAACTGCATCAGCTCTGTCTGGGTCAGTCTCGGAAAGCAGTTCCTCGGAAGTTTATCCTCGTAAGCCGACACTTCCTGCACATAAATGTTAGTAATAAAATCGAAAACCAAGAGAGCAAGATATTTAGGGTCATTCACCCATAGATCATTCTCATCCCGTAAGGCCTCGATCTTATTGCGCCTTCTTCTGATGTTGGCTTGCTGATGGAAGTATGCCGTATTGCGCTCGCCAAACTTCACCCACTGGTCTCTAGCACGCTGAAACCATAAGATTTCCTCTTCCTCCAGAACCTTATCCAGATCAGCCTCCAGCTTAGAGTGAAGTTTCTCCAAGCCTTGCTCGAAAGAGATCGCTAACCTTGTTTCCAAACCTTTTAGGCGAGCCAGCAAGCGGTTCTTTTTCTTCTTAATGTGGCCGAACACATTAATGTTCCACTCTCTGAGGCTGCCCGCAAGACTAGCCAAAGCACTGTGAAGAGGAGCATTACCCTCCCAAGCTGAGCCAACAAAGTCTTTGAAGTTGGTGTGGGTAAGCCAGGCCGCCTCGAAACGGAAGGGACGATCAGTGGTCGGGGCTGCACCTGGAGAGGAAGCAGTAGTGAGGAGGGGACTGTGATCAGATTGGAGCCGAGGGAGGTGCATCACGGAAGTGTTGGGATAGACCTCATTCCACCTCAGATTACACAGGATTCTGTCAATCCTACTCGCTCTGTACGTTTGAAGTTGGTCCCCCCTGGTCCAAGTAAAAAGAGGCCCTGAGAAACCCAAATCGATTAGCTCCGCCATATTGATCCTGTCGTTGAAAATGCGACATCTCCTCAGGGTATTTGCCGTAGGGGGCCCCGACTTCTCTTCCGCGGCGCGAATTGCGTTGAAATCGCCCGTGAGGAGCCACGGGATATCAATCTGGTTACTTTGAGTGAGGAGGTTATTCCAGAGCACCTGCTGGTTACTGGGCTTGGGCGAGGCGTATACAGCGGTCAGGACCCATGGGGGACAGTTGCCTTGCTCCACCCTCAGCGAAATATGATGATTGCAAGCAGAAATCAGCTGCACAGAGAACTTGCGCGCATCCCAAAACACCCAGATACCACCCTTCCTACCATCCGCCTCCACCCGCAAAGAATTTGGGAAACCCAGCTTGTCACATGTATAGTTAGCCGCTGCGCCACTAATCTGAGGCTCGAGGAGGATGACGAAATCCGGCTGATGATTCTGGATGGCTAGCTTCAGAGAACGGATGAAAGCTTTGTTCCCTGCACCCCCAACATTCCACGCAAAAATTTTAAAGTTAGTGAGAGTCGACATAGGCATAAAAGAAATGAAAAGAGACGAGAGAGAGAGAGGTAAAGGGAAGAATCATCAGTTGGTGTGGCCTGATTGCTCTGCCGGTGTGCCACTAGCCGAAAGCTCCTCCAAATCAGTCGCTGGCTGCTGCGTTCCCGGAATGGCAGAGGCTTGCTTCGCTGCATTCGTCCAGGCAGCAATCTCTTGCATCGTGAGGGACACAATTCTTGGTCTCGATTTAGTCTTCCGATCCTTTTTCGGAGACCAAATTTGAAGACTTTTCGTTGGGTTGAGTTTGGTGGGAGACCTTCGTTGATCAGCCTTTTGTTTCTTATTTCGTTTCGTTCTAGAGGCCGCCGAGGGCGAGGACGAGATCGCAGCGCTGTGTATACTGGGTTGGGCATCTCGGAGGTCCACTATTTGCATCACAGTTCCATTGGGCCCTGTCAAGGTTTGGGTGGCAGGGGGAGCGGGGGATTGGGGGGTTGTCTTGGGCTTGCCAGGGTCAGTCTCTTTCACAGTCATCTGGGCCGAGGTGGAAGCACGATGAGTATCAACAATGGGCTTCGGCCCAAGATTCGAGAGTTGCTGTCTTTCTGGCCCCGAGCCGAGGACCCCTTTCCCTTGTCTGCCGCCTTGCCCTTTGTGGTCGATTGAGATTTTCTCATTTCCTTTCCTTGCATCATCTCCTCCCTTCCTCCCCGAGTTCGTTTTCCTTTCTTGATTTAGGGACCGTTGCGGAGTGTTGCCTGTAGAGAGCGTTAGTTGTGTAGAAGAGGAAACTCCTTCCTTGGCCGAAGGTCCACTCTTTCCCTGACTGGCTTTGAATCCACCAGCGATCTGGCCCTGATCGAGCTCTGGCTTTCCGTTTTTGCTGTTGCCGAAATCCCTCTGATTGCGCCAACTTTTCTGGGTGACCAGCATCCAGGGCCCAAACCCCGGATTTGGTTCCTCCGCCGTTTGCTCCGCCACACCCGATTGGATTTCGCTGCCGGAGATTGTGAGGAGGGTCGGGGGCGCCGCCGTCCTGTTCAGCGGGCAGAGTTCTGATGAGTGGCCAATCTTGCCGCAATCGAAACAAATTTCCGGCAGGTTTTCGTATTCCACTTTTTGCCAGGCGTCGTCCAACCAGATCCGAGGAACAAGGTGTTTGGTTAAGTCAACTTCCACAGCCAGCCTAGCAAACTTAGCACGATGAAGATTGAGAGTATGGTAATCAAGCCTGATGGTTCGACCAATGAGGTTTCCGAGCATCGTCAGCACCTTCCTGTGGTAAAAATGCACTTTCAGCGCTGGGAGCTGCACCCAGACTATCATAGTTTTGGGGAGAGGGTCGGAGACTATGAACTTCGGTGTCCATTGCTGTACGACCAGATAGTGATAAAAAATGACCCACGGGCCATCTGTCAATGCTCGGAAATAGTCTTGTTCATTTCCAAGCTTAACCAAAAAACAGTCTTGATCAAGATCCATGACTTCCATCTGGCCGATCGGATGCCAGAGACTTCGAAGCCGAGAACAGAGTGTGGAGAAGCCAATCTTAGTGCCGAGCAGTCGCACTACCAAAGTTCGTTGCCAAGGTGCACAGATCTTTGATTTGAAGCTGGAGGAGACGTTTAGAGCGGGTTCCCCATTCTTTTCCCCTGGGATCAAATCATTTTCCCCCTGGGATCAAATCATTTTCCCCAATCGGTGTCCATTGATTGGTCAGAGTTTGAGGTTGCGTTGGTGTCTTCTAGCCTGTCACTGCCCCAGCATAAGAGAAACGGGGCTGAGTCGTCACCGTCTCAGAGGGGGTCAGGCTTTGGTTCCCGTTCGCTTGATTTTCAGGAGCCGACATGTTCACGTTCATCTGAGGGATGGGAGGAGCCGCAATAGTAGTGATGTCGATGAGCATGTCTGAGGTCGAGGTGGTCGGGGGTGGTGTCAAAACTGAAGCAGGTGAAGAATCTGTTGAAAGAGTCAGCGCCGAGTCCGGAGGCCTGTCGGAAGGGAAGAGTGACGGCGCCGGAGCTGGATTTTCAGAGAGCGCAGTTGAGAGCATCTTTTTTTTTGGTTTGGTCAACGTGTAGTTTAGTTTCCATATGCGCCACCTTAATGATAATAAATAATAAGTGATACTGATATTTAATTAAAGTTGAAATGCGTAATTAAGGGTTGTTATCTTTGGTTAAAGAGCTCTCATCCTTGGGAAAAAATGTTAAATTATTCATTTTAATTTGGAACTCCATGTCCTTTTATAGCTGAAGATAATTTTGGCATTTCCTATGGTAAATAGCAAAGGCATTGTAATGAATAAAATACAAAATCAATGATCATTAGGTAATATCATTTTACTAATATATTGTGTAAAAATTATAGAACTACAATTATTGGTTACATAATAATTAAATTTTACGTGTTATGTAAAACTTCCGTAATGATTTGACACTTTACGTGTTATTTGTTATGTAAATATATCATCGGTTACGTAAGACTCATATAATGTCATTTTACAGCTATTATGTAAGATACAGATAGATTGTAAAATATATAAAACGACAATTATTTCTTACATAACAGTTAAATCATACGTGTTATATACGACTTCTATAATGACTTAACACTTTGACGTAATAGAGTGTTAATAATCATTACGTAAAACAATGTGGAATCACTATTATATTTTACATAATAATATGCAAACCACAGACTAGACCAGACCAGACCAAGAGATCAATACATCATATAGTACAGACCATAGACCAGACCAAAACATTCTTAACGATCTAATGATCCGAACCAAACTATACGATCCAGTTTGATCCATGGGTTTTCAAACGATCTAATCTATCTTCCAACCCTACTTCTTCATTCACATTTGTCTATTTCAGAAAATTAGCCCCAAACTCATTTCTATTATGCTGGTAACAATACTTTCCCAAAGTAATTATTATTTTCATGGCTTATTGTCTTTGGGAACAACCGTGCTAACCCAGGGTGACGAAAAAACAAATAAAGAGGGAAAGTCTAGAATAATTACGGAATTATAATTATGGAATTAATCATTAAATTGAGTTTCCGGTATAAACCTTTTCCTTTTAATTAGTACGATACATGTGGCGCATATTTATTGGAAGGGAGCACGACTGAGGTTAGAGGTGGCAAATGGATTGATCCATGTATTGGTGGATTCATGGATTGGATCAAGTGGATTGGTGGATTGTCCATGAATTCAAATGACATCCTCAATCAAGGACCAATATGTAAAATGTGAAAAGTTTAGGTACTAAAATGTTATAATGAAAATTTTTAGGTACCAAAATGTAATTTTTCAATGATATTTTTCGTATAAAAAATTAAATTTTGGGTACCAAAATGTAAAATATAAAATATAAAAAGTATAGGTACAAAATCGTAATTTGCCATTCAAATGAATTGAATTTAAATAAATTGAATTATGTGAATATTTTTAATGGGTTGGTGAATTGGATTGATAATTGCACCGGTGGTGCTCCGGGAGCTCAAGAATTCCTCATGTTCCCGTGTTGCATCTGAACCGTAAATTCAGACATGAGGGCAAGCCACCTACATTCACTGCACCTTGAGATTAGCGCGGGCTTACTTCGTGGCAGGTGGCAACCTCTTATTGGTTACCTAATCGCCAACAGTGACGTATTCATTATTTTATTATCGCAAAGCGGGCCAATCAGGTCCTACCATTTCCCAATTCCACCTTGTCAAGTTGAAGTCTCTTTCTCGGCATTTCTCTCTGCCGTCCCCAGCCACAGCCAGCTTTTCAAGTCTTCAACCTCCATTTCTTCCGACGATCTGCGAGATGGGCGGCGGCAATCGGTGGTTGAGGCCTGAGGTAATTATCTTTCAGATCCTGGAGCTTTTTCTATCGCGCGTTCTCTCTCTCTCTTTCTCAGCTAGCAAAGGAAAAAAGAACAAGAGTAGTAGGTAGAAAGAATGTTAGATCTGGAGTACTCATGGCGTTAGTAATGTTGTGGTGGTGATTGGGTTTTGGGGCAGGTTTATCCTCTGTTCGCCGCGACGGGCGTTGCTGTAGGGATCTGCGCCTTTCAGCTGATTCGCAACATTTCCGGCAATCCTGAAGTCAGGTGAGGTCAACCTCTTTTCCTCACTAGTAACGCTGCTAGGCTATATATAGCTGTAGACATATTGTTGACATAGCCTCCTTTTTTTAGTCGACGTCTATTTTTCCTAAAGTGATGAGAAATCCATTCGCAGAGTCCTGCTGTTTCCACTGTTTATTGGCTTGTTTTGATTTGGGGTCTCTTCTTCTTCTTCTTGTTTGTGTTGGCAGGGTGAAGAAGGATAACAGGGCAGCGGGAGTACTGGAGAACTTTGCGGAGGGAGAGAGGTACTCGCAGCATGCCCTTAGGAGGTTCGTGCGGGACAGGGCGCCTGAGATCATGCCCAAACTCAACAGCTTCTTCTCCGACCCCAAATGAAATGGGAAAAACTACATTGTTTTGTCCCCAAGCTGTTCTAATACAAAACAAATGGAATGTGGTGGAGGACTCTATTCTTGTGATGGAAAGATTGGTGTTGCAGTTTGACCTATCTCTTTGTGTTGTGATTATGTGATGTTCGTTCCATGGTGTCTATTCCAGCGCTTTTTTTTTGAGTTTTGACAATGGCTATGCTCGTGCGTGTTCTCGATGTTATGATTGTGAATGCAATATTAGGTTAGATCCCTTGGGAATTCAGACTGGTGAGCAATGTCGTCAAAATCACATTTTAAGATTTTGATGACGTTGCCTATGAGAGACGAAACTTGCGCCTGTAAGTTGTCCTTGCTCATCTGAAGGCCGCTCGAAATCTGGAGAAACCAACTTTGTGGGATGTGGTATCTGTGGATTTGAGAATGGCGTTTGCAGAAGTACAGGATTGATGGGTTTGAAAGGAAGTAGAGTTCTGATAATTGAGGGAGATCAAACTTAATTCTCATTAAGGATTCTGTAAACTAATATACAATCTTGAGGGAGATAAAATAGGAACACGTACAGCACTTAGCAACAGACTTATTGTGCACCTCCCACCAAGATAGGAACTGAACGTTAATGGAAAAAATAAATAAATGAAAATTCATATATCTCTAATACGCCCCCGCAAGACGGAGGTAGTGTCAACGACTCCGATCTTGGAAATGATGAAATCAAATACCCTTCTTTCGTTTTGAAGATGTGATAGATCATAAGCATAACATGAAGTTGAGATAAACAGTAACCATTTACAAATACATTGAAACAAACCTTAGCTATTTGTCATAAAAAATAATGAGTTTGACCAATTAATGTGTAAAGGCAGGAAGGATATAGCAAAACTAGGACCAACGGTGTGTGACTATGTTTCAAGGAAATATGATGCTTCTATACCAATCTATCATGAATGGACATGATAGTGATACATCAAACAGACCAGCATCAGACATTGACATTGAAATTTTTGAATGGTAGATTCAAATGGCAAAAGTACTGGATTCCAGAAGAGCAAAACATTTCGATTCAGCTTGTCAATCCAAGAGAGACAAAGATCAAGGACGGAAATGGTCAACGTCCATTGATGGCAAACTGGTGTCACCCCTTATTCCTCTCAGTATGTTCTTCGCTGTTTCTTTCTCCTGCAATGGTGCAAAGAAGACAAGCACTCACATCCATCATCTTCATGATCTTTGTAAAACAGAGTTGGCTTCTTTGGCCAATCCACTGTAAGATCTATAGAATAAATGAGTAAAAACTTACCGGGCCACCATAATCCATAAGACGAGCACAGTACACCTCTGCTTCTTCATATCTCTTCATTTCTCTGCAATGCTCAGCAAGAAACGACAGTGCTTCGACCATATTCTGTGCTTCCCTCTCCTCAGCTTCCATCCTCTCCAAATCCTTCTTGTAGTAAAAGGCCGCTTCTTCAAACCGGCCAAGTTCACGGTGCAGCTTGGCCAACTGCTGCAAGGCAATGGCTTCCTTGTCACCACAGCTTGCAGCTCTCTTATAACACTTGATTGCTTCCTCCAGCATCTGGAGCTGCTCTGTTTCATAGCACTGGGCCATGGCTATCCACAGCCGGGCATCATTCGCCTGCAAGAAGACCGACTTCTTGAAATAGTGAAGGGCATAGAAAGGCATTCCCATCACCTCGTATGCTTGCCCTAGACCATACCAAGCTCGATAATCACGGGGGTTGATGTCCACTGCCCTTCTGTAGGCATCAACAGCAGCTGGGGTGTTTTTCATTTCGACATACTCATGCCCCATAAGCGTCCAAGCAGTAAGATAGTTTTTGTTCAACTTCAGTGCCCTTCTAAAGTAGGTGACTGCTTTCTCATGCTGTCCCTTTAAGCTGTAGTAATTGGCAATAATGCAACAAGATTCAGGGCGATACTTATCCGTCATGAATACCCTATGAGCAAGATAACTTAGGGCTGAGAAACACTCTTTTGCATACAACACATTGGAGTACATATCCATATCTTCCACTCTATAGGGATCGTTTCGCAATAATTCTTCAAATATCACCTCGACTAGTTCAAATTCCCTTAAACTATACTGCACTTGAGCAATTTGAGCTTGAACATAGTTACTGAAACTGAAAGTTCCTTGTAGATATTCATATTTGACCAGGGATTCATTGTGCATTTTGAGCTCTTGGTAAGCACTGGCAAGGAAGAAGTCCTTCATCCAGTGATTACTGAGGTTGAGACCATTCAAGATCTCAGGAGTTGAACATAGTGCTTGTAGCTCTGACCAGGCACTCCAGTTCCAAGGGTAACAGTTCACAGATTCCACAAGCACCATTCGAGCAAGATTCTGGTTACCTTTCTCTTTGAGCACAAGACCATACAAGTACAACCCAAATGGGTCGATCGTGCCATTCTTCCGAAGGGTTGATAATTCCCTTTCAATGGTGATCAGCTCACAGTTCGTGGGTTCACTGTTTCCCAGCCCTGTTAGTTCAATTGATTCTTCTTCTTTGCGCTTTTCTCCCGCCTTCAAGCCCAGAATTTTTTTTTGCAAAAGGGGAACAATACAAGATATTAGTTGAAGGAAAACATTGTGAAGCAAGTAAAATGCAAACGTTGAAAAATAGCATTCACATGAAATGAAGACCATTAAACCTAGTAGTAGAACCCAAGAAACTACCAAACCAGACAACTGAAAGGAAAGTAAATTCTTAGAAGAGTATCTATAGATCATGACCAATCGAAACTGTTGTAACAGATTCCAGGAAGCCACAAAGTGAGCGCACAAAGCCAATCGACAAGACAAAGAACAGCATCTTACGAGGAAAAGAGCATAATTACGCAAGAAAACTGATTTCTTCGCAGTTTGGTCTCGGAGAGCATGGGCAGCCCGTCTATACTCCCGGCAGTCGAAGTAGGTTTTTCCCAGAAGGTAGAAATCGTTATCCACTGCCTCGTCTTCTTCCATTACTGGAGTGGAAACATATGAAACACCGGCAAGCGGCGTGAGAGGCGTGGCGGAAGCTATCTCATTAGTTCGAAATCTCCGTCTGATGCTCGAGCTTCCTCGCTGGAATCTGGTGTTTGCAGGCGTGAACTTAGCCGGGTCTTGCTCAATTCCTACAAGCTGCTCAGCTGCCCTGTCCACCAATCAAGCAATTCAATGCCCAGGAAACCAAAAGGCTTAGCTAGACATTAGAAGGAAGGAAAACAAGAAGAAAAGGGGAAGTTCCAAGCTTTTTAGGGTTTTAGAGTGAGAATGAAGAGGAGGACTACCATTTCGCCGCAGGGTGAAGACAACGATCGCTGAGTTGGCGAATCGCAGTTCGAAGTTCATTCCTACAGTTCTCTTTAGAGCTCATCTCAGAATTTGCATTGCCAATTCGCCCTTTCTTCTCTTCACTTCTTCCTGCAGCTTTAGTCTGAACTGTCCAGAGTTTTGCTGGGGAAAAAAATCGAAATTTCGCTTCTCGGCGCCCTTTCGTGAAAACGACGGAGATTGAAGCAGGCTTCATTGGTTTGGCTTCGGCCCAGATTTTACAGAGCCCAAACAGTCCACTCTAAATAATTGCTTAGTTTGACCCACCAGAATCAACTTCGGACGGATGGTTTTATTCGGAAAAAATCTCACTGTACACATGTTCTTAAAAAACATTCCCAAAATACATAAGTTATAATTTTTTTTTCAAAATTACACATGTTTGGCATTCACCGTTTTTGACAAACGCAGTGAAGACTATCACCGTGTTTGACAAACACGGTGAACCAATCACCGGTTTAAATTAAAACGGTGAAGATATCACCGTTTTAGTCGGAAACGGTGAATATATCATCGTTTTAGGGCAAAACGGTGAATACCTTCACCGTTCTAGGTTAAAACGGTGAGTATTAGGCACGTTTTCAACCCCTGTTAGGTGAAAATTAGGTAACAACTACCTAATGTTCACCGTTTGAGACAAACGCGGTGATGATGTTCACCGTGTTTGACAAAAACGGTGAATAGTAGGCAGATTTTCCTATAAATACCAGGCCGCCAGCAATTATAAAAATATAACCACTCCCCCCTCTTCAAATTTCAGCAACCAAAACCGAGCATAATACACAGAACATGAATTTTCGGTATGATTTAATTTTCGTATTATAGCTTAATGATGGATTTTTAGCAGTTATAGTATGATTTAAATTTCGTATTATAGCCTAATGATGTTTTTAGTAGTTATATTGTTATGTTATGAATTACTTATCGTAGCAATTGTAGTAATTAATTTTTGAATTTATACTGTTGTTAGTTAGTTGAATTTATGTTACGTTAGTTATGAGATGGAGTAATATTAGTCGTACAATATGGTTTTGGTTAATTTTACTGTCTTTAAGCTAATAGTTTAACTTATTGTAAATTGTAGATATGGGTAAATTCAAGAATTTTCGGCTTATTATTCGGTGGAATGGAAGGGTGACAAACTCTGACATAGATTGATTATGAGAATGGTGAATCCACTATGCTGAAAATTGAGTCGCGATTCAATTTTCAAGAACTCCGTGATATTTGTGCAGACAGGGTTTGTATGAGCGGACAGACGAGACTTGGCAAAATTAGTTACCTGTATCCAGACATGAGTACTGGCGGGGTTGTGTACCAAGAAGTTGTCATAAACGATGATGACGCGGTTACGATGATGTTACAGTTCCTAAGCGATAACGGGATGCGGCTTGCAGAGGTGTATGTTGAGACCGAGACGGTTGGTGAAACTCGTTCTCACCAGTATTCTTATGATGATGGTTTTGCAGGAGGGTACGGATGGGGTGGTAGTTCGAGCAACTACGAAGGAGGTGGTTATACAGGAGGTTATGGAGAGGGTGGTAGTTCAATCAACTACGGTGGAGGTAGTAGTGCAGGATGGGTGCCATCGGAAGATTACTCGCAACAGGATCAACCAGCCCCATTTGTTGAGGCCGATGGCGTTCAATGGCCTGCTTGGGGGCCAGAGTGGTCTAAAATCGAGAATACCATTCGATCAGGGCGTACTTCACATGAGCGAGAAGACGATGTTGGTGATGGTGGTCATGTTGATCCTTCTGGCCCCAGCTATCCATTTGACTCAAGCGACGAGGATACTGAGGAAGATTTGAGATTAGTGAGCGAGGTGGAAGATACTGATGATAACGACGACGAGGCGACATTTCGTGAGGCACCCACGCCATACTACACACAGGTTCCAACTCAATTTCTACATAGTCAGAATGATGCCCCCGACTTTCTCCCTATGCCAGTGTATAATCCGACAGCCAATTTGGAGGTGGGTATGACGTTCTCATCGAAGGACGCTGTGCAGGATGCCTTTACCGAAGAGGCCTTGAGGCGCAATTTCGAGTGGAAGGTAAAATATTCTGACAGTAAACAATTACATGTCATATGCAAGAATGATGCAGAGGGCTGTACGTGGCAACTGCGGGCTGCAAATATGAAGAGAAAGGGTGCCTGGGTGATTCGAAAAGCCGAGACCAACCACACTTGCTCCTCGTCCATACGTTCCCAGGATCACATGCAACTTAAAGCAAAGAAAATTGGGAGAACTATTAAACACCTTATCGAAGCACAACCAGATATCAAGGTCAAAGCTATCATGGCCGAGGTGAAGGATCGACATTCTTAAATTAGGCTAAGTACGGAATCAACTTACTTGACACCGTAAGGGGGATTTTGCAGAAAGTTTAGCTCATCATCGGCTCTCCGGTATGGACGTGGGTCTAGAGGTGCGAACATTGGAAGATGCTCCCATACCCACAGCTGTAGGATAAACATCGCAACACCAGCTTGTTTTGCTCCCACCTTCGAGCAAGTGCACAACTCCCGGTATATGCCAGCTAACACGGATGATCCCCAACTCTTTTCCCCGATTGCGTCCCAGTCACCAGTGAGCAATGGCAACCATATGCCTTGAATCCACCGGTTTGACTTGTCGGGGAACAGAAATCCACCCACCAGACCACTGAGGTAGATGGATGCCAAGGGGGCAAGTTTGTGGTCCCTTTATGAACGACGGGAATAAGTGATTCCTTCAAAAAAATAGGAAAAACATCAATTTGTTAGTTTAAATAAAGCAAAATAAAACCTTAGAAAATAATAAAATAAAGCAAATAAATCATCAAATTACCGGATTGTTATCCCAAATAGCACGGGAGCGATGAGCTTCTTGATCGGTTAAGAGTCTCATATCTCTTGGCCCATAATGGATATACAATCGAGGATCGTATATCTGGGCACCCATCTATAAAAAAAGTAATGAAATCAGAGATTGTTTTGATAAAAAAAATCACAAAATCAAATTGTTACGATTAAAAATAAAAACACAAAAAAAAAACCTACACGAAGAGCCTCTTCGTCCATTTTTTGGCAGAAGCCGGACAGAGGTTCGACGGGTTCGGGTTTGTAAGGGACGAGAGCTTAGCGGGACGAGGGCTTTAGGGTCAAACTCTAGTAATTCTTTCTGATGTGGAAGATCAAATTTATCCGCAACCACAGAGCATACTTAGAACGAGACTAGAGTGGATAGATTGAGGGAGAAAGAATTGTAAAAGTGGTGGTGTGATTTGGAAGAGGGGGGGGGGGGGGGGGGGGGGGGGGAAGAGTTCTATTTATAGGGAAGGAGGGAGGGGTCTGCGAAATTTATTGAGGAGCATTCACCGCGTCCCTCAAAGGCGGTGAATGCATCGCCCTTTTCAAAAACGGCGCCATACGCGGATCGAACCACGTGGCGTGCTGTGAGGCGTCAGATCAGGGAAGAAAACCACGATCCGCTCCTCACCGCATCCAACGGCCACAGTGAGTGGGTTAGCGACGCGGATCGCTGACGCAAACAAACACGGGGTATTCACCATGTTTGTCTAACGCGGTGTATTCACCGTGTTTGTCCACGTCAGCGATCCGCGTCGCTTGATCGTGGCCCACAACAACGGTTTAAACTTCACCTCGTTTGAATAAAATGGTGAAGTATTCACCGTTTTTGTCAAACGCGGTGATAATCTTCACTGCGTTTGTCAAAAACGGTGAATGCCAAACATGTGTAGTTTTGGAAAATTTTTTATAACTTATGTATTTTGGAATTTTTTTTTAACAACTAGTGTACTTTGGGATTTTTTCCCTTTTAAAGAAGTACTTTCAAATTTTTTTTTGAGTGTTTGAGTGAAAAACTATTATTCGTGGTTTTTAATATGAGAGGTTATGTAAAATGACTATAAAAGACTTATAATATAAACCAATGTTCAAGAATACACTAGATGCTAGACGAGGAGGCACCACCCAGCACCCAGGCCGATTAGTCGTTGCCTAGGCGAGATTAAACGTTGAAAAAAATATATTTGATATATCAGCTATATTCCACATTATTCATCCATTCATATACACATACAACCCTTTTCCACAATCCCAAACATCACAAGTCACCAACCATGAGGAGGGATCTCGCTGCTGGTCGATGAGCGGGAGCGGCTGGTTGAATAGAAATGGGAAATAGAATAGGGTTTGGGATTTCCACAAAAAACCTACACTTTCCCCCATTTATTAGTTGTTCTAGGCGTCGTCAACCATAGTGAAAACACGCCTCCGAGCGCCTATGCGCAGGTTAGGCGTATTCATGGAGATTAATTGTTTAGCATGCCTAGATCAATTGCCCAGTGCTAGACGGGGCAATTTCCTCCTGCACAGCTATTACTGGCGCCTAGGCGAGAGATTAATTGTGTTTTCTTGAACATTGATATAAACTATGAATAAAAATTCTAAACAATAAAAAGTAGTCAAAATGGATCTTGTTAGATTTCTTTTATATTAATTAATATTAATTAATAATTTTTTTATTTTTAAAATGATATAAATGAAATAAAGTTATATTTCCTTAAATAAAATTAAATATGATAATGATAATCTTGTATTTTCAATAGCTTTTCGCAAAAGCTCCAAATCGGAGTTTCTGCTTTTATGTTATACAAAAGTACTTTTCGACTTTTCAAAAGCCAAGCTTCTAGAGCTGTTTAACCCTGATTCAGCTTTTGAAGCCGAAAAGCGCTTCTAAAATCCGAGCTAAACATAGGCAATATAAGTTTGCGTTTGGATATATCTATATACTTGAAATATATTTAAATGAACGTATTTGAACTATTAGCATTTGAAATATCTATAATTTAAATCTATTGTTTGAATACTCATTTTTAATTTGTCAAAATTTTAGATTTTAAATATTTTAATTTCAATTTTAATTTTTTTTTCACTTACTTTGAGTTTTGATAAATTATATTTTGGTATCTAAATTTATTTTTATTTACAATTTAATACCTAAATTTTACAAAAAAAGTACAAAAATTTTGGTGGTAAAATTAAGTTTTGGTACTTTATATGTTGTGCCTTATCTAAACTTTTGAAATTTTACAAACAGATACAATAATTTGTTAGGAGGAATTTCAATCCCTAGTTGTTAAAATGTATATGAAGTTAACAAGTAATACACTAGACATGTATTTGAAAATCATCCCATGAATTTTATACAAATCAAAATACCAAATATTATTCATGTATAAAGAAATGATTTGACAATTAGAAATCCAAATTAGAAATCCAATTGGAAAGTGGCAGGGGCATTAGTCCATCCAAAAGGCATAACCCCCTAAATTCAAAATGACCATGGTGAATTTGAAAAGAAGCTTTAAATTGGTCTTGAGGGTGCATGCAAACCTGGTGATAGCTAGAAAGAAGGTCTAGTTTAGTCAAGACTTGGCTCCTCCTAGCTAGTTCCATCTAACATGTAATCAATGGTATATAGAAAATTTCTTTTATGGTATTGGAATTTAAATTTCTGTATCTCACAAAATCTCCAAGTTTCATCTTCTTACATACTAACAAAACAGGGGATGCAAAGTGACTATGACTTGGTTGAATGAAATCAGAAGCTAGCATCTCATCTACCAAGTTCTCAAATTCTATCTTTTGGGGTAAGGGATAAGGATATGGTATTAGGTTGACTCGAATGGCATCACATTTCAAGTGAGCTCAGTTTCATTTCCTGGGATAAGTCCTTACAAACCAAATTACTTAAAAGAATTGTATCATCAACCAACTTAACTAAGAAGTGGAGTTATTGCCACCATTTCACACTTTAACTAAGTTGCCTTATGCCTATTAAAGAAGCTGTGTGTGATACCAGTGTCGATCGGTACAAGCATTGTAGCTTTCTTCACCCTACCCTTAATGATCTAGGAATTAGCTACAACTCCACTGTTAAGAGCTTGCATGGTAACTTCCAATGGCTCATGGCTCTATGATACATGAGTATCGTCTACGGTTATGCTTTCTTCATCATCACTCCATAATCAAGAGCTACCAATTCTTCACCTTCAGCCTGAAGTGCATGCAACTATTGTTTGGTATCACAAACATTACCATAATTTTGGCTAATAATTTGAAAACTTTGAAAGGTTTGACTAATACATTTTTATTTACTTAAAAATAAAAGAGAAACATAACTAAAGTTAGGGTACCCTCCCTGTCGTCCCACGTGAGCAGCAGTCGAGTCCTAATGAGTCGCATTTGGCTGTTTGTACGTGGGATGGGGCGACCAAGAGGGGTTCTCATTCAGTTGGAGGGATGGTTATCATGAACCATGCTCGGGACATCATTTATGCGAATGGAGTCTAGTTCACTATGATTGATGATCCCATGGTGGTCGAATTACTTGCTCTTCGTGAAGCGGTGTTATGGTGCCTCGCCCATGGCTTGACTAAAATGAGGTTTGAAGGCGATGCGAAAGTGATTATTGACAAGATCCTACGGGCCGATACCAGGGACAGTCGAATGGGGGCTATTCTTCATGAGGTCGTTCAGCATTTTGATAGTTATTCGGGATTTAGTGTACGATATGTAGGTCCGCGTAGCAATAGGGTAGCCCACTTGGTGGCTCATAAGGCCCTTTCTTTATACCCGACTATGAATTGTTTGTTTGATTTTCAGGCTTGGCTGAACTCTAGGATGTAACTATCTATTATTTGAATCAATACATAATTATCTTTTGTAAAAAAAAAAACACCAACCAAATACGTTCTTTTGGGGTCGATTGATAGTTTTTCAAAATTTGTATAAAGGTTAGAACAACTAAAATAACAAAACACTGATTTTGCTCTCTTCTCTCGTTCTTTACCACATTTCCCCCCCTCTCTTACTTTTCCTTTATTCTAACGTCTCTATGCAATTCTTCTTCCTCCTCTGAAGAGCAAGCCACCATTTCCGATTACTCGTCGAGAATTATTTCTTCTAAAAGATGAGCTGTTACGGTCAACATTTCAAATTTTAGTATTATAATTAAAAAAGAGTTATAAAATTATTAACAATAACATATAAATGACTTATATTTTGTTGCGTTAAAAAGAATTTACTAGTACTGTATAATTCAAAATTCTAAAAAATTTGAAAAATTTAACTAATAATTACTTGATTCTTTTCTATCTTCCATTCTAAAAAAAATCGGGGAAAAGAATTGTTCACCATGCTGAATCGGCTCTCCGCCCTGAACCATTGCCACCGGTGGACTCTCCACCGCCTCCTTCCACAGAAAACCTTCACCACCACTTATGTCGTCGATCAATCACGATCACAAACTTCTGCTCCCTTGAGCTCCCTCATTCTCAGCCCATCAGACCGACAAAGCATACCCCCCAAATGACCACCACCGAGCCGCCGCCGACACTGGATGCTGCTTTTCTAACTTTCCTAATTCTTAATTTGTCCGACCGGCGGACCTTGGCCCAGACGCTCCACTCGCAGTCCAATGAATGGAGTATGAAGCTTGTCAATAGGATCATGAAACACCTTTGGAACCACAACCCGGAAGCTCTGCAATTTTTCTATTTGCTTTCCCACCACCCTTCGTACTGCCACCAGGCCTCTTCCTACGACCACACCATCGACATATCGGCTCGACTCCATTAGCGGCGGATCCAGAACATAGTAGAGCACTGGGCCGCATTTTTATTAAGAAAATTAGATACCAATAGCATACTTTCTTTTGTAAAAAATAGCTAAACAATCGACGAGAAACTCATCACTCATTTAGTTGCGCAAATAAGTTTTCACATGTTTCATTGTTGAAAAGGTTCTAGACAAATCAATCGACTAATCAATTTGTATTGTGTGTCCATCCCTATTTACACCAGCAGCTGCTCTAGTAATTTTTCAAGGGAACAAACCTCATATTTCTTTTAGTCTTTAAGGCTTCATTGTTTTTTATAAGGCGATAATCATTGGGGTTAGAATTTCTAGGCTAAATTTAGGTAGAGATTTGAATATATTCATCTGAACCATTTTTCTCGTTACACACAATTTTATTGTAAAATAACACTGGACCAAATATCTAAAATCGAAAAATTCATTAAGGGTATACTAGTTCCGGATCCAGAGGAGGTCTGGGGCATGGCCCGGGGTGGCCACCCCCTGGATCCGCCGCTAGCTTCCACGATTTCCAGACTTTATGGACTCTGGTCTCCCGGATGCGCTCAACTAAGATCGGAACTTCACCCAAAACCTTCGCCACTAATGCTGAGAGGTATACTGATTCAGGCCTAATTGTAAACATTTTATCCCCGTTTCCCTTGGGCCTTTGTGGCATTTGTGCTCCTAAAAGGGTGGTTTACGCTAGGTTTCTTGTGTTTCAGTGTGTTTCAGGATCTAACAGGTGAAACCAGCTTTGGAGTCGAAAGTTGGAAGAAAAGGGGCAAAGACCAGGCAAAGAGAATAATTCAGGCCATGTTCACGATTTTCTATTGGAGTTCACGGTTTCACCAAGACCGTGAACTAGAGCTGTTGGCCGTGAACTCAAGTGAGTGAAGAGATGCGTTGCGAAACAAAAGGCCGAGTTCACGGACGCGTTGAGGAGTACACAGCTGTGAAATGAGCCCGATCCCATTGTAAAATGTGACCTGAAAGGAAGAGAGAGAGGGATGCCAAAAGTGTGAGAGAGCATCTTCTTCTTCAGATTTTAGAGAGAGAAAGGACGAACCAAGGAAGAAGAAGGAAGAATCTCCCCAAGAGAAGATCAACACAAGATCAAAGGAGAGTGGGAGGCATCACCATGATGGTTTCTACTTCTTTCTTTTATGTTCTTCCCCTTTCTAGCATGAAGTAGTTTCCTCTTTCACTTGGGTGTTGTGACACTCTAACTATTTGCCATGTAGTTGTCGTGTGAATTGAATGATTGTTTATGAGTATTGTTTAATATAATGATTGAGGTATTTTGCATGATGATTGTGCATGTTTGTGCTTGGCAATCCAATTGGCCATTCTAACCTAGGGTAGAGGGAAAACCCCCTTTCCAAAGAGGCTCAATTGAGTTGGGATTTCTTGAGCTTTTCAAGACACCTACCTAGGTTAATGTAGGGAAAACCTCTATCTAGAATTAAACAACTAGGTTAATCGTGATTAAGCCGTCCAAATATTGGTTTGATGGAGAAGGTAAGGTAAGTCAACCCCCAATTGCCTTAACCAGCTACTCTAGTAGCCTATAATATATTCCTTGGTTTGACAATTGAGAGTGTGGTATTCGAACATAGTTGCACTTCCTAGCGGTTCACGATTGCCTCGCCCATACGATCCATTCGATTCCATGTGCTATGGTAGTAGTTAGGGGGAAGCAACACCCGAGTGATCCTTCTCATCTAGAGCTTTCAAACCATTTACCTCTGCTTTGTTTTAATTTAATTCTTATAGTTTTGAACCAAAAACCAATCCGCTAGATAATGTTTCAAACAATTGAAGTAGGGGTACATGGACCGGCCCGGGTTGATATTTAAACATACTTGCCCTATATTGCACCCATCTAAGGTTTATACTTGGGTTCTAGGTGGGATTTTGTTGTGATATTCGGTGGTTAAAAGACCTTATAAGGCTATGGATATCTTCTTGTCTATGCATGAATACAGATGGTTCCCTGATTTGAACTCCTTTAATGCTTTTCTTGACGTGCTCTGTAAGTTGAATCATGTGGAAATGGCTTATAATTTGTTCAAGACCTTGGGAGGAAAGTTTCGAGCTGATTGTGTAAGCTACAATACAATTGTGAATGGTTTGGTGTCTGATAAAGAGGACGAGCAAGGTGGTGGAGGTGATGAAGTAACATCCTGATTTCTGGGTAAGGTTCGGCCGTTAGTCGAGTCCATTTGGATTGGGAGAATACTTATTTTAATTAATTTATATTTCCAAATTAAGGATAAATAGTTTTTTATCCTTAAAGAAAAGGAGAAAATATCATGGTTGTCAAACCGGGGTCAAACCGGCCGGTCGAACCGGGTCTGGCCGGAACCGGGCACTAAAAGGGCCAGAACCAGCCGTAATTAGAGCTGGCCGGTAGCCGGTCAAAACCGGTCAAAACCAGGGGAAACCGGGGTCTGACCGGACTGATCCGGCTACCGGTTTTGAGGGAAATGGCGTCGTTTTTGGCTGGTTGGAACTTCTTCCAACTTCAATAACCCTAATACCTATCTATCGCGTCCGCCGTTCCCAAATCACCTCCCTCGTCGAGCCCAGCCAGCAGAGCAGAGAACACCTGCGGCAACAACCAGCACAGCAGCCGCTCGCCGTCGGCGCTCCCCTCGTCGCGCCACGCCGGCGCTCCACTCGCCACTCCTCGCCGGCGCAACCCTCTTCTCGACCCAGCTCTGCACTTTCTCGCCGCCGGACTCCTCGACCCAGGTCCCTGCTTCCTCGACGCCGCTCGCCATCGGCCGCCTCGACCTAGTGCCCCCTTCCTCGAAGCCGCTCGCCGTCGGCCTCCTCGACCCAGGTTTGATTTCCTTTTTCAGCAGTGGAAGTGAGATTGGGTTGTTGTTTCAACTCTTATTTTGTTAATAATTTACTTGTTTTAGAGGTTGATAGATGGAATCAGGCAATGTATCAAGTCAAACCTCAGTTACCAATAGTGTTATTGGTGCTACTGGATCTCGGACAAAAGAAGATCCTGCTTGGGGCTATGATGAGGAAATTCGCACTGAAGATGGAAAGACGTGGATCAAGTGAAAATTGTGTGGTCATTTGATAAAAGGAGGTGGAATTCATCGAGTGAAGAAGCATTTGGCTGGAGAAAGGGGTAATGTTGCAGCTTGTAAGGCCGTTACTCATGATGTTCGTGCGAGGTTCAAAGCTCTACTTGCATCTTCCGGTAAGCGAAAGCCCGCTGAAAAAGATAATGATGTTGCTTCTGGGGAGCAAGATAGTACAAGTGTGGTGCGCCAAGTGACTAGTGCACCATCTCAGCCTAATTTCTTTGCACCAAGAACAACTCCAGGAGCCCAACCTGGCATTCGAAGTGCTTTAGCTGGAAGAGATGCAAAGAAGAATGCTGATCTCATAGTGGCTAAATGGTTTTACCATGCAAAACTCCCTTTCAATGCTGCACACTCCGAGTTTTATCAGATGTCATATGATGCAGTTGCTGCAATTGGACCTGGATATAAGGTACCTTCTTACCACCAATTGAGAGTGACTTTGCTGAGAGAAGTCAAACTAGAATGCACTTCGATTATACATGATTATCGTAGAACTTGGGAACTTACTGGATGCACTCTGATGGCTGATGGTTGGGCTGATATGAGTCAAAGATCATTGATTAACTTTTTAGTCTATTGTCCAAAGGGTGTGTGTTTCATCAAATTGGTGGATGCATCAAAAATGGTTAAAGATGCTAAGAATTTGGCTGAGTTGTTTGGTGGTGTGATTGATTTGATTGGGGCAAAGAATGTTGTGCATTTTTTCACTGATAATGCTACTAACTATGTTGCTGCGGGAAGGCTTGTTCATGAGAAGTATAAGATATTATTTTGGTCTCCATGTATGGCGCATGTTCTCAATCTTCTATTAAAAGACATTCACAAGTTGAAACATGTTGTAAGTTTAGTCTCTCGAGCTCAGAAGATTAGTGTGTTTGTTTATAGTCATCTTCCTGTCCTATCTTTTTTGAAGAAGTTGGAGGGTTGGAAACAGATTGTGCGTCCTGGAGCTACTCGATTTGCTACTAGTTTCATTTGCTTGAGAAGCATTTATGAGCATAGGTCATTGTTGGAACAGCTTGTTACAAGTAATTTCCTTGCATCTCACAAGTTGGGGAAAAGTGCAGAAGGGAAGCATATCAAGTCTATTGTGTTGGATAACAACTTCTGGCAAGAGTGTTTGGTAATGGTCAAGTTGACAATACCAATTGTGAAATTGTTGAGGATTGTTGATTCTGATGAGCAGCCATCTTTGGGATATGTTCATGATGGAATGATTAGGATTAAGAAGACCATCAATAATACTTTTTTGGGTAATGGAACAGGGGCTGATGTGTATATGAGGTTGATTGATGCGAGGTGGGAGAAGCATCTTCAGCGTAACATTTATGGAGTTGCATATTTCTTGAATCCAGTTTTTCAGTATACCGAGGAAGGTCGAGCTGAGCATGGAGTTCAAGGTTGTCTTATCGACTTCCTTGAAACTGATGGGTTATGTAGTGATGTTAATGAAGCTATTCAAGGGATTAGACTTTATAGAGATAGGTTGGGGAGTTTCGGGAAGAAATCAGCTATCTCATGTGCTACCACTTTACCACCAGGTAATCAATTGTAATAACTTATTAGCTTGTATCTTGTATTTATGTTATGAAATTCTAATTGCTTGAAAATTATTTTTATTGAATAGTTGAATGGTGGACACTCTATGGAGATGATGCTCCAAATTTGAGGCAGATTACTATACGAGTTTTGTCTCAAACATCATCATCATCTTCTGCTGTGAGCGAAATTGGAGCGTGTTTGATCAGATTCATAGTAAGCGGAGGAATCGATTGGAGCATCAAAGGTTGAATGATCTTGTTTATGTGACTTACAATATGAGGTTGAAGAATAGGTAATGTTTAATTTGCATAATACATTGTAAACCTTTTTAATATTTCATATACTTAATTGCTTTTATTCTATTTTACTTGTAGGTGCTTAAAGAAAGAGTGGAAGAAAGATCCAATTGATTATGAGCAATTAGACAAGATTGATTTTTGGATTGTGGAAGAAGATCCACCTGCAGATATAGACTATGAGGAGATTGAAAGAGCTCTTTATGAGGAGATGGAAGATGAATCCTCCTCCTCCTCCTCCTCCTCCTCCTCCTCCTCCTCAAGAAAGCGATCTCGTGTTGAAGGTTGGCTTATAATATTATTGTTTAAATTCAAATGCATTCTTCATACAATAATGAAATTGTCATTGCTCATTACTAACTATTGTTTGGTTTTATGGTTTTGGTGCAGAGGACTTTGATGATGATGTGACTGATGAAATTGATTTCGACATTTCTCAAATTGTTGAAGCAATGGACATGGAGATGGATGCTTTTATCTTTGAAGACGTTTGATTGTCTCCTTTAATTTTTAGAGTATGAATTTCAAGTAAGAACAATTGAATGTTGTCATTTGTGGGATTCAAGTATGAATATTCTGATAAATGTTTGCATGTTATTCACTTCTCGTAGATGTCAGTGTTTAAAACTTCAAATGTGAGGATTTGGTTTGTAATGATGTATGTTATTTATATATAAATCTAGGTGTATTGAGAATTTTAGATTGTCTTTGAGATGTCATATATATATGCATAATTTATTAGGTGTCAATGGCTCTCCAACATATCTTGTCAAAACCGGCTTAACTCGGTTGAACCCCGATCCGACCATTAAATTCCAAACCCCTTGTCAAACCGGCCGAATGACTTAACCCGGTTTGACAACCTTGGAAAATATACGCCAAACTCTTTACCTTAGTCTCGTTACATTTAATTAATCGTTGGAGTCAAAGTGAGGCGGCGATGGTGTTGATACTTTGAGATTGGGGCCGATTGCTTATCAAATTGGTCTAGGTAGCAAGGCCTTTTTTTTTGTTGGAAAATGTATTTTACATTAAAATTAAACTTGTGCTATCAAAATAATAAATGTACATTATAATGACTAAATTGTAATCTTTTAGGCAATAGTAACTGGACTTCTTCTTTATATACAATAATAATATGTAATGTCTCTCACTAATGTTTAATTTAATTTTATAAAACTCATATCACACCTTCAAATCATTACAATGAAAAACTTGTAATTTTATTTGATATAAAATATTTCTCATGTAACATTGCTATTTAAAGTTCATTACAATGACACATTTGTTCAACTCTTGCGTAACATGTGGTTGTTTTAAATCATAATACTTATGTAACATGTGGTTGCTTTAGATAATTTTCATGACACATTTGTTCAACTCTCGCGTAAAAAATAATTGGTAAAATACACCTATGTAACCAGGAACTTTTACGTTTGTGATAATAGTAGTCAGATTTGGAGAAATATCACTCGTAGCCAGATTTTCTAGTTGTTGTATGACAAATCTAGCCATTTTCATTAGAAAATTTAACAGTGTTATTAACATCGTCAACTTCTATGACGGTTCGCTGACTAGGTTCCAACTCAGCGCACACATCAACGCCAAAAGTGCCACGTCATAATTTTGTAATAATTGGTCTAGCTGATGTTACGTCAAAGTAGTTGTGTACTTGTGATCAAATCTATTTTTATTTTTTAATAAACGGGCGCTAAGGCGCCCAGCCTTAAGAATTAAGCAACAAGTCTAGGAGTCTGGCTCCCAGCACGATCATACATCAACCAATAATGGAGATTAGGGCATGGGTTGGAGATCAAATGGATCGATAGTGGGTTAAAGATCGAGACCTTGTAGATGCAATCGCCGGTATTATCTCCTCTCTCTCTATACATCTTTGTTCCTCTTCACTCCCTCTCTTTTCAATTTTCCCTACGAAGATGTAATTGCCGCTTTTGCCGCTCTTGGCACTCTCATCCTCCTACATCGTTTGAGATATATTCATTAGGAAGGAACGATAGAAGATCTGGTTCGTGCTTGTTTGAGATATGTTCATTCTATGGTTTTGTTTTTCTAACTCTTATTTTTCTTCTTCTAGACTTGGGCTTTTTGCAAAGTGCAGCAACGAGAAGAAGATCCAGTTGGTGGAGGTGACGGAAAGGCTAAACCAGTGGCCATAGTGTGATTTTTAACTTATTTTTTATCATTATTGGGAAAAAATCCAAAAGTACCACTGTATACAAAAAATTCCAAAAATACCACCCTGTTTTTGATTCCGCATAACTTTTCAAAATCTACAACTTTTAATATAATCATAATTTCAAAATGTACATGGATTTGTGAAAAGTAAAGGTAAAGTTATTCTCACTGTCCCGTATATCCACAAATAGTTCCTGTTTTGAAAATTTTATCCTTGTAAAAGTTGTAGATCTTGAAAAGTTATGCGAAATGAAAAAAAAATCGCTACGATCGGATACCCGAGTGCAAAGTTACGTTCGTTTGAAGTTTCGACCGAAGTTAGGAGTTGATCGAAAAAAGAAAAAAAAAATTGGACCAAACCGCTGGGTGGGGTGGCGGTTTTGGGTCAAACCGCCACCCCACCCAGCGGTTTGGTCTAATTTTTTTTTAATAACCGCCCCCTAGGCCCGCGGTTTGCATAGAAAACCGCACCCCCAACAAGCGGTTTTCGTGTAAACCGCAGGGTGGGGTGGCGGTTTTTGAAAAAGGTGGTATTTTTGGAATTTTTTGGGATTAGGTGGTTTTTTTGGAATTCTTTTTTTAAACAAAGGTATTTCTGGAAAAAGTCCTCATTATTGAGAATGTATCTACTGTTTGATATATCAATGTATATACCTATTGTTTTGAAGATCAATATATATACCTGTAATACAAAGTATTATGAGTTAAAAGATATATATTCCGCATATATGATTGGTGAAAGTGATGCTCTACAAAGGAAAAAAAGAGTGTGAACTATGAACTTCATAGTTGATGAATAAAAGATAAATGATTTTATATGTTTGATTTGGTTTCATAAATTCTAAATACAATTATTGGGTGAAAATTATCAAAAAAATATTTATTGGTTAAAATGTATTATCGACGGCCTAGTTCTGTCATGAATATAGCAAAATATTGTCAGAAATGTGATATGGTCACCAATTTCGTCAATTTGGAAAAATCTTCATCGACGACCCATTATCTGCAAGAACGGCCTCCTACCGTCACAAATAATCTTTTTTGACGGCTTGCCACGCAAAAACTATTTGTGACGCTCGTATTTGGAACGGAACACGACTGTACATGGCGTCGCAAAAGAGAAATTGCGACGAAATTTGGCCTTTACTGACAGAATCCTCTGGTCACTAATGACAGTCTTTTTTGCAATGCTGTCAAAGCCGAGCCGGAGTATGACCCGGTAACGTGAACGGCTTGGTCATTAGTGGTCCAGCCGACATTAGACCGTTTAAAAACCGTTTGAGAACCGGTACCTAATAAACAGTCATCTGTAATAGTAGACACTTCTTAATCATGGTAAACCACATTTAAAAACCGATTGCGAGCTGCTTGCGTCGGGAGCGAGGAGCAGAAACGATGATGGCGACTGGCGATGGTGCGCTGCTTGCGGTGGCGACTTGCTTGCGGCGACGGGACGGAAGCGCTGGGGGCCTGGGGCGATGGTTGACGGTGGCAGGGTGGCGCCGCTCTCCCTCTGTCGTCTGTTCTACTTCTAGGTCGAAGATGGAGAAATAAAAGGAAAGTTAGGATTTTGTTTGGCTGCCCAATTCCACGATTCCTTTTCTATTTTTTTTAGGGTAAACCAAACGGCCGAATCGCGCGACCGGCTTGAGCGGCTCGAGCGGTTAACCACTTCGGCCGCTCGCCGGCCGCTGTATAAAACCGTGGCGGTTAAATAGCTGATCCGAGCTAGTTTTACGGCCGGGTGGCGGCTTTGGCGGTCCGGCCGGCCGGCTCGGTTCGGCTTTGACAGCACTGCTTTTTTGTAGTGGCGGTAGTTGATCGGATCACTGCTGGACGACGAGATGCAACATAACAGTTGATCGTGTATTTTTAGGTCATTATTGGACAGCGAAACGTAACGTAGTAGTTGCCGTGCATGGTGCTGGCCGGCAAGATGTATCGAAATACCATTGCTTTTGAGGTAGGGACACTGGACAATGATGAAAAGTGGCCACAAACTTCAGCAGATGATCAAGAAGAAGGCAGAAAGTTTCGACACCCAAATCACGACAATAGTGCATTTTGAATGGGAAAAAGATCACCCCCGTGACACGAATATCACGGCCGCGACCTTATTAAGGAGACCTCGATCTTGGAGCTTAAGAAGGTGTGAAAAAGTGACATTTTGGGTGAGTCAGCGAAGTTCCAGTTAGTCACGCCCTTGAGGCCGTGACCATTGCCAACAGCCTATAGATACTCCTTTTTCTGAACTTAACGAAAGAGAGCCAACCTAGAATGAGAATATTAGGGTTTTAGAGTGTTTTTAGAGAGAGAAACACCTTGTGAGAGCTTCATTGAAGATCGAATCTACCCAAGGAGCAAGAAGAAGGTGCAAGCTAGGAGAAGAAGATTGATTCCATCACTCCCTCTCTTCTAGTTTATGTTTTCTTTCTCGCTCTATGACTTGAATCTCTAATGGTTGTTTAGGAAAGATGAACCCTAGTTTATAGGTTGTGTACGTATTGGTTTTAAATGAATGTGTTTGTCTAGTTGATTTTAATGCTTCATCTAGCTTTAATTATACTTTGGTTAGTTGCTCTAATCTTCTCTACTAGACTACTTGAGCTTCTACGCTAGGTATGGATTTTTATGGTTAGACGGGTATGGAGTCTTGTGGTGGATGAGACGACGAACCCCTGCCACAAGAACGCCTTCCAAGATGGAACCCGGGATGAAACCTCGGTGTGGATGGTGGATAGTACCCATTGAAAGGAGCTAGGTTCTTAAAGCCCCAGGTACGTGAGTCTATACCGAGGTGAAAATGGGGAGGCAGGGCGTATTCGGAGGCGTGTGGATAATCACGAAGGCCTACAGAAAAGAGCTGACTCACCATATTCTCTTATCCCTACATGACAACCATATCTAGACGGATTGGACCTTAGACAACTGGCACATGTCTAGTAATCTCCCAACCACTTAATTGGTTGTTTAATAGTAGGTTAGGTTAGATTCTTCACCAAACTTTTGATTCGATTAGATAGAAGTTTAGAGAGAAGTAATAGTAAGCTTAGGGTTCCCTTGGAATATGATCGAGCCACTTTACTTCAACCCTAGATAGGTTATGCTTGGCTTAGTTAGGATTGAATAGAGAGTGTGCATTGACTTATGAATTTAAAGCTCGTTCACGCAAGCGATCAAGTTTTGGCGCCATTGTCGGGTAGTCTTAGGTTATTAGGAAAACCCAAGAACTACTAGTTTAATCATTCGTTTTTTTTTTCGTGTTTTCTGTAGCATGAAGTTTTTTGTGCCGTTTTAT